GCTCTTAACTGTGCTATATATTCTAGTTCTGAATCGCCCAGTTAATTCTTTTTCATATCTTCTGCTTCTCTCTCAAAATCTTATAGTTTGCTTAAACACAGTAAGCACAGTTATTATGAGATCTATGTTTGATAACTCCATCACCCGGAGCCTCTGTGAATCTTTCCTTATCATCTGCTGTTTCTCCTGCCTTTTACTTACACCATCTTCTCTCCTCCCCCGCAGGTGCCCGTCACGAGGCCGAGTGCTGGGCACTGTATGTAAAAGACGACAGAACTCGAGGCCTGGTGTGACCTCTTACACTGGAGGAGGCTCACATTTGCAAGCTGGTATCACCTCAGTCCATTTACAGAAAGTGACATGATTTGAAAGTTGGTGTCAGTCCCTGTAAGGGCCCATCAACGGAGTGACCGAGTGTCCCCCAGCGAGTTGGTCTTCTCAGTCCCAGACGGACCCTCCCGCCCTGCCACCTCCCCCCACCCCTGCCAGCCTGGCAGGGCCCAGCGGCTGCGGCAGGCACGGGCTGTGCCCTGCTGGCACCAGGTCAATGCCAGCAATGAGAGCTGCTATTGTCACCTCCTTGCCCGACATGACCTCACAGGATACTCTCGGCGACCTCAGGACAGGATGTGGGTAGTGTGAATTGTCCCCAACACCGGGCTGGGCAGCTGGAGAGGACTCGATTGAGCCCACGGCGGGGCCGGCCGGCTCCTCTGCGGGGCCCGGCGCAGCCATCCCTAGAAAGCTATGGTTGCTCCTTCCCCAAACGCCGTTCTCCCAGGCAGCACGGGGCTTACAGTCGCACGGCTCAGTGGCCCTGTCCACGGCACGAGGACGGTGACAGCGCCCACTCCCAGGATGTGTGGGGGTCGGACGGGGTGACAGCACTGGGGCAGGAGGGGACCCGCTGGCATGAAACGGGACAGAGGGGGACCGGGCCTTGTGGGCTGCAGAGACCCTGCCTGCCACTGCCTGTACCGGTCACGTCTCACGGACGCAGGGGTGTGGCCCCACAGTGACCCCCAACCGGCTCCCCAGGGTGCTCTGAGCCTGGGTGTGGATGTGTGTCCCTGCTCTATTGCCTGGGCCCCGCCTGGACGTGGGGCCGGGCGCGCACACTCCCCCGGGGACTGTCTAATTGCAATCACGGCTGGCGCCTGCACCTTCCACGGAGGATCAGGGATTAATGGCATCAGAAATTGCTTCATTAACACGCCTAACAAAAGGTGTCATTACGTTTTCAATTAGTGCCTTTATCTGGGGCCTCCACAGGCTCCAAGGAGCTCTGCTCTCCGCTCCCAAGGGGCAAGCTTCCGGGCTGCAATCAGGAGTGCAGGGAGGGCTTGGCAGTCACGTGGACAGGGACCCCCCAGCCCTGGGGCACAGCCCTTGGAGGGAAGGCCCCCACACGGGAGGGACAGGGTCCCCAGAGCTGCTTCCTGGCCGCCCCCGGGCCTGCCTTGCTCACCAGGGCATGACTGGCAATAATGATGTGGGAAGGAGTGAAGTCTCAGAGTCTTCAGTATCCACAGGGTGAGGCTCACGGGTTTGCCCTTCGAGGCGTGTTTTGACGCCTGGTTTAGCATGCTGGGTGACACTCAAGACCTCCCTTCCTGGTGGGGTCCACTCGTCACCACTTTCTCTTTCCCAACACAAACCACCTCCACCGTAAGAGACAAAACACAGGCCCCTGTTCCCCAGAGCGGGTTCCTTGGCACAACCATCTTGCAAGTTGTGCCATGAAGAAAAGTTCCTTGGTCAAACAGGTTTGGGGAAACGCGCAGCCCTTCTCCCACCCAGAGGCCCCCAGAGCAGGGGAGGCTCTGGGCAGACCTGCCCGAGGGAACGTGCTCAGCTTTGCTAACCCTCCCCTCGCCGGCCCTCTCCCGCGGGGGCACCAGGAAGGAAGGCTGTCCCGGCCGCCCTGCACAGAGCTCTCCTTTGCCTTGTGCCCTGCCCTCGGCCACCAGGACACGGCTGCCACAGCACGGGGACACAGGGACACGGGACAGGCAGTGGGTGAGCAGTCGCTCCTCTGCTCCCCGCCATGCACGGGAACCCTGACGTTCAGGACTGGGGGGGTGAACACGGTTGCTGGGGGTCTGGCCCTGGATGGCTGGAATATACAGGGGTGGGGGGTGCCAGGCCGCCCCTCCCGCCCACCCAGGCAGGACGGCAGGCGGGCTGCAAGGAAGTCGGGGGGGGGGGCGGCTGGGAGGTTGGGTTGCACTGACTTTTATGTCTGTGTGAAGCTCTTGCTCCTCCCTCCCTCCCTCCTTCCTTCTCTTCCTCCTTCTCTCTTTCCTTCCTTCACTCCTCCCCTCCTCCCCTCCCTCCTTCCTTGCTTCTCTCCCTCCTTCTCTCCTTCCTTCTTTCCTCCCTCCTTCCTTGCTTCCTTCCTTCCCTCCCTCCTTTCTTTCCTTCCCTCCTTCTTTCCTCCCTCCTTCCCTCCTTCTTTCCTTACTCCTTCCTTCCCTCCCTCCTTCTTTCCTTCCTTCCTCCCTGGCCATGAACGGCCAGAGAGATGGGACGCTGTGGTGCGGCTGCTGTGGCCCGGCACCGTCGTCCCGCACCCCGGACACAAGGTGAGCGTGTGCCTGCGAGGGTGGGCCAGTCCCGCCGCCTGATTCGAACCTCCCTCCTTCCTCCTTCTCTTCCTTCCTTCTCCTTCCTTTCCTCCTCCGCTTCTGGGCTTCCTTCTTTCCCTCCGTTTCTTCTCTCCTCCTTCCGTTCCTCCCTTCCTCCTTCTTTCTCCTTGTCTCCACTCCCCCGTAAAAACTGTCCACCTCAACACTCCGACTAAACAAAGACAAACACGGCCACTATGACCACGTCTCCTGCCCTGCTGCACGGCTGCCCGGGTGCGCGCGCTGTGAACTTCAACATAACAACACAACACTCCTTGCCTCTCGCCTCCTCCTGCTCCTCGCTGAAAACCTCTTCTATAACAACTCCTTCCTTCTGCGACTGCGCTGTCGTCCCCTCAGGCCCACAACCCTAAAACAACAACACATCTCAACCCAATCCTGAGCAGAAGACATGCGCGTCACCGCCAACACAACACCTCCTCACAAAACATATCCCTCAGTCAATTCCTAGCGCCCTCAACACAAGAAACACTCCCCTCCTCCTTCGTCTCACCTCCTCGCGGGCTCTCTCCTCTGCTCCGGTCACAAAAAACGGCACCCCACACGTCTCCCTGTCAACAGGCCGGACCTTCAAGTCCTGCAGCCTCTCCTGCCACACGGGGAGAAAATAGGGAGCAAGACGGAGGCCACGTGTCAGAGCCGGGGCAAGCCCAGGTGCCCAGTGCAGGACTGATTCAGTAGGGGAGGGAAGGAGAGAGAAGAAGAGAAGGAAGGAAGGAGGGAAGGAAGGCAGGAGAGCAGAGAGGAAGGAAGATGGAGGGGAGGTGGGAGGGAGGGAGGAGGGAAGGAAGGAGGGAAGGGAGATGGAGGGGAAGGAAAAGGGAGGGATAGAGGGAGGGGAGGTGGTAGGGAGGGAGGAGGAAGGAAGGAGGGAGTGGAGGAGAGAAGGAAGGAGGGAGGCGGACGGAAAGGAGGAGCGCAGAGGAAGGAAGGAGAGATAGCACGAAGGAAGGAGGAGGGAGGC